GATCTGTATGAGGTCCTGAATTTCTAAAATCATGTAAACCTTTTCCCTGACTTTCACCACCAGGTCTAGGAGAGAAGCAGTGCAGTGCCCATCTCGCAGAAGGGACTCCTGCGCTAAGTGAAGGGGGAAAGGAGTGAGTGACCGAATTCTCTTCCCTTTGGGGAAGATGTTTTCCCTCTTACTACACAGCCTTTAGTGTTCCTTTTCTTTAAGTCCAGCGCTTCGGGTGGATTTCCTTAAGAAAGCACTAAAATTTATGAAAAGCATTCTATGTGTAAACCATCAGTATGGCATAGTAAGATATACAGAGATGAATAAAACAGCCACCCAGTTAATATAACACTCATATCTTAATAGGGCGACTTGGTCATTTATCTAGTTAAGGGTAAAAGTGTATGTTTCATGGAGGGAACATTTTTATAGGCTTGAGAGAGAATTTGTGTCTGTGATAAACATAAAAGATGACAAAGAAGTGGCATCTGAATGAATCTTGAAGGATATTTCGTATTGTATCAGTCGGCTATCAAGCTTACATCCACAGAACTGAAGACAGGTTTCATAGAATAAATACTGTAAATTTGTGGGTAATTCAAAAATCTTTTTGTATTTAGTATTTTGGCATATCATACAGTTCTCTGTACACAATTATAGTAATTAGGCTAATACCAAATTAAATTATGTTCAGAAAATACAAACAAAGAATGCTAGAGAGCAAATACGTAACGAGGTAAAGCCCCAGGAAAAGATGTCGTGCCTAATAGGGAACTGAAACTCGACCTACCAGGAGAAGCCAACGTTTCTTCTCATGTGCCAACATACTGGTGGACATTGGCTGCCTACAACGGTGGTGGCTCAAGTGTGCTTCTGGACCACCTGCATCAGGATCACCTGGGAACTCGTTAGGAATGCAAATCCTGAGGGCCCCCCTCAGACTTGCTGAATCAGAAACTCTGGGGGTGGGCAATGTGGGTTTTCATCAGCCCTCCAGGCTACCCCAGTGTTCACTCGAATTTGGAAACTATTGGTCCGAAGGACCTTGTTGGATAAAATTCTGATGCTGGGTTGGGTCACCTAGAAAATATCACTGTACTGATAAAGAATGTCTGTCCCAGGCAAGGAGTCAGAAATGGGAGCATGTGTGATAGTAGTTACGATCCCTGCCTAAATCAACAGTGCTCACGTGAATGCTGTCCTGCATTGAGTGGTCTCTGGAACATTTCCCTGATCACTAACATAATGATTATGAAAATCAAGCAGAAATTAATAGAGTCACCGTGCAGGAAGGCACACCGCACCTCCAAGTACAGAAAAAGAATTGGCTGGGAGAGGACTATTTTCTCAGTAATGATTAACTTTCCCAATAAATATAACAGACAAGAACAGTCACTACTAGTTACAAAAGACACAGGTGCTGGGAACAACACAGTTTATGACCTAGATGCCTTACTAGGTATTATATTTTGATCATATTAAGTTTACACAAGATAAAGTCAAAGTCGTATGATGTTTAATTCCAATGAAACTATTCAGAGATGACAATGGCTGGGATGATAGCACAGACTACAGTTTCTTTTTTGTCTCTAAATGGGCAAGGTATGGAGCAAGAACATACACGCCCCATTCTTCTGGTCATTTTGTGATGTGTGCAGTATCCTCATCATCTACTAAGTTTACTGACCATCTATTAGGAATGTGCAGTAAGTGTATCATTATGATATGTCAAGGGTGGTGGAGCTCACTCACTCTGGGAGAAAGACCCAGAGAAGGTGGATAAAAAGAGGGTAGCTGGTTTGTAGAAGTAGTCTAGGGCCTGCGCCCACCCCCAAGGCTACAAACTATTAGAGGATTTCCAAAAATTTAAAACATGTTTTTTAAAGGTTTAGAATACCTTCTTACTAGTAAAGTTAAATGCACTCTCCATGGAACACACCTCCCCACTCCAGATAAGCTTTCACAGTACAAGCTCAATAATGATCTTAGTTTGACAGAAGCACCCAGGGGACACTGTGCAAATTCAGAGCAAGAGTCGGGATTTTTGTGGGAGTTAACTGCACACTGGTTCATAATTGTTCCCTAGATGTTATTTCAGGTGTGAAATGCTATCTGACCAAATCATTAAAAATAACCTAAGAGATGTATTTATTAAAATGCATATGTTTATAACGATAGCACACAAGTGGTAAAACACTGGAAGTCACACAACTGATAAGAAATTATGATTTTGATAGAAAACCCAATTTACCAACAAGTAAAAAATGAGATATTTTTTTCACTACTTTGGAATCCTGTATCTGAGAAAATTTAAAAAAGACAGAGAGAGAGAAATTTTGTTTAAAAAGAAAAAAAGTAGAGGGGCGCCTGGGGGGCAGTCAGTTAAGTGACTGATTTTTTATTTCAGCTCAGGTCATGATCTCAGGCCCTGATCTCAGGGTCATGAGATCAAGCCCCACATAGGGCTCTGTGCTCAATGCACAGAGTCTGCTTGAGATTCTCTCTCTCCATCTCCCTCTACCCCTCCCACTTGTGCTCTCTCTCTAAAAAAATAAATACATAAATCTTAAAAAGTGGGAATATTTTATATAGCCTGAAAGATGGAAGTCAGGTGAGAGCAGATCAATAGATGAATCTATAATCTAAAACATGAGCAGAAGAAAATCATAGTAAAAACGTTTTCAGAAGCAGGGTCAGGTGGGAGAGTGTGAGGTGTGTGGCAGGTAAACCATGGATGCTCTGAGCTTGCAGGCAGCAGATACGGGAAGCAGAAGATAGCCAGAGAAACTACCAGGGTCACCGGTTGGCACAGCAAACGTACAGCAGCTGGGTGAGCCAGCACCATCCTCTCCTCTTGGTGCCAAGCAATGACTAGCAAGAGCCCTTGAATGCAAGCATGAACAGTGAGCATGGGCAGTAAGCCAGAGAGAAAAGCTTTAACTGATAGGTGGTAACCAGGAACTGGTGATAACTGGGAGGAATGGAAAGGAGCCAGACTAAACCACTGGCTCAGCCTGTCCAGCTGCATGTCCCAGTCCTCCTTGCTATCAGGGAAGACAAGACATAGTAAGCAAAAATAGCATCCACGGATGGTAGGACAGGGACACAGAGACACACAGAAAGATGAGCAGCAAACATGCCAAACCGGAATATCTAAGGGATAAAGTACCGAACAGGAGATTTTAAATGTATACTTAATACTCTCAAAAACAAGATGGCATCATCTCATTTATGAAACATAGGCTGATATAAAAATTTTAAAAATGGCAATTAAGTACATGAATGGAATAGCACAGTGGTCACAATGGACACGAAAATGAGAAAGCTAGAAGGCCAAATGGAGGAATTCTCCCTGAAAGGAAAAAGTCATGGGAAGAATGAGAAAGAAAAGCTAGCAGACATAGAGGACAGATGGAAGAGTCTAGGGGAAGACACTCAATTCCTTAGAATAAAAATTTCTTCCTTATTAAACAAAATAAATTTTTAAAAATACCATAAAGAAAACTCAAATATATTTACCTGTAAGGAAATGTAAAATCTCTGAAGGACAAAAATGGACATAAAAATAAAAGATAAGCAACAGAGAGAAAAAAAAACTTGTAACCTGTAATAAATAACCATTAATGTTGAAAGTTATAAAGAATTACAAACAGAGCAAAGAAAAAGCCCAACTGAAAACCGGACAAACGATACAGAGAGAAACTCACAAAAAAGGCAATACGAATGACCACGTTCGTTATCATGAGAATCCACAAAGTACAAATTAAAACAAGGAGAGTCAACACCCAACCTATGAGATTGCCAAAAACTAAGAGTGATAAAAGTAGATACTCGATAGTGAGGAGGTGGGGAAATTGTAAACATATTGTGAGAGGCCATATTCTGTACCTCCTGGAAGGCAATTTGCCAGGATCTCTTAAATTGAACAACGTGCATCCCCTGGATCCTGACTTCCATCACCAGATTCTGTTGCTGACAACAGTTAGCTTTCTTGAAGTGCTAGAAGCCAGACATAGTTTTAAGTACTTTAGAGAAGTTACTACCTTCGATACTCCTAATAGCCTATAATGAAGGTTAATATTACTATCCTCATTTTATAGCTGAGGAAACTAAGTCACAGAGGGGCCAAAGAACATTAAACAACAATAAACAGAGAAGGGCAGGATTTGAGCCCAGGCAGTCTAACCAGACTGTCTGCTCTTAAACATATGCTATTGTTTGTAAGATATATTCTCATCTGTGTATGAAAACATATGCAGGGTGTTCATCACAGTATCATTTATATTCCTAAGAAGTAGGAAAAAGTAATTGTCAGTAGAGAAACAGATGAATAACACATCATACAATGGAATATTATGTGGTATTTAAAAGAAAGGAGATATATTTACACGGAAAAACATGGTCAATCTTGAATACATAATGAAGCACAAAAAAGCTTATTGCAGAATATGGACATTATAGTATTTTAATTAAAAATATACACGTGTATTTACGTGTGTGTGTAAAGGCATAGAAAGAGTTGGAAAAAGTGAACGAATCAAATCATATGCAGATAATAGATGTTATCCTGAGGGAGGGGAACCCAGTGGGATTTCAGGGCAGGAGGGGGATGGGGTTCAAAGGGTATTTCCATCCAAGTGTATGTTTGATGGCTTCACACTAAGGATGTATTCACATCTTTTCTTACGTATAATTAAAGTAGAATCAAGGGAACATTTTCTTGAGCAGTTGCTTTATGCCAGGCATAAAGCTATGACAGTGGCCTTATCTCATTTAAAACAACTTTATGTGATTATTACTATTATCATTATTGTTATTAATTTAATAACAGTAAAGGACAGTAAGATTCAGTGGATTTAAATACTTTGCTGCAAAGGCCTTGATAGCTAAGAGGTGTAGATTTGAGCTCCTCTCTGTTGCAGGAGATGGGAAAGGCAGCCTGACATGTAGAGACAAGAGTAGAGAAATGGGTATGCAGACTACAGATGGCACAGCAGAGCCAGACTCACCACAGCGGTCTCGGATGACCAGGTTCCGGCCTTCCTTCAGGTGGATGGTGAGGAGGTAGGCAAAAGGACTGGGCAGGTTACTCAAGCCATCACCGGCTTCCCCAAACATCTACACAGATGAAGAAATAAGTTAAGTCTGCTGTTTGGGGACTGAGGAAGAGAATTTCAGAGCCAACGCAAAAGGCACCACAAAGACAAATCTTCAAGCTTCATCTCCCACCCCCTACCTGGATGACTTGGTTACAGTGATTTATTAAGGCATCCTTTATGTTTCTCCCCAGTGGGGTTTTTATCAGAATTCCTGATAATGTCTTTGCAGTATTAACTCTGCCCCCCAAAATCCCACAAGTGGTAGGCCAGTATCTGAAATACCCTTAAGCTCAGTGATTTCCTGCAGGATTCTTTCTTCTAGAACTCATGGTGGAGCCCAGTGGAAGTAGCACGTGCTCTGCCCCCCCAAAATCCCACAAGTGGTAGGTCAGTATCTGAAATACCCTTAAGCTCAGTGATCTCCTGCAGGATTCTTTCTTCTAGAACTCATGGTGGAGCCCAGTGGAAGTAGCACGTGGGGTGTCCACATGTGTCCCACAGACATGTGTCCACACTCAGATGCAAAGTCGCTTCCTCACTTTCTCCCCCTTCCCACCAAGCCTTTCCACTCTGGCACACCACCTCCTGTCATAAAAACACTTCTGTTCACGACCACTCCGCTGTCAGCCTCCTGAGCCCACACGTCCGTCAGGCGCATGCCACGCCTGTGTCCATATGTGCTCTCTCCCCTTTGCATATTTTTCCTCTGCTCCCTGGCCCCCACCATGGTATCACCTCCACTTACCCCCAGTCTTACCTCCCCTCAATACGGCTCACTTCCCTGTCCAGGAATGCATCAACTCCCACTGGCCACAAGGTCGACTCCAAGTCCATTTTTGAATATTTATTCATTGCATCCAATTAAAGTGTTGAACTAGAGTTTTGCACTAGTTCAAATTTTTGTCTTTCCAAAGAGAAAGAACAGATAAAGTAATTTATCATTCACTTATTGGACATTCAATTAATCGATTTTGTGGCGGAGTCCCCCTGACAGCCTTCTTTTGAAAGTTTTCCCCATCCAGGTTTCAAAGCACTTCAGAATGGCTTCGTCTCCTTTACTGTCCCACTCAACTGCATAGCTGCTCTGTATTTTTAGAAAAATCAGTCCCAGTCTAACAGATCGATAGACCCTGAATTAATCTTTTCCAGCTATAACGTGCAAGGCCTGTCTTTGTAAGTGGATTCGTTTCAGCATGCTTTAAAAACAAGCAAAGAAATACAGACCCACACCTTTGCTAAGAAATAATATTTACTCTAGTGTTTGTTTTCAAGGAATGTCACTCACAGATTGTTCTTCAAATTGTTGGGACGTCAGAGAAGCATTCAGATCACCACTTCCACATAGCTTCTGTAAAAAAGAAAAAAAAATCCGCTTTCAAAAAGCAAAATGGTATCAACCTACACAGATACCCTTTATCAGGTCTTTGCCTTTGAGTCTGCCATCTGCATGCTCAGTTTCAAGTATGCAGGCTGCCTTCCCACATGCGTGGCCGGTCTTGGCAATAAAAGTTTGATTCAGTGGAGTCCCTCGGGCTACAGCCTCTGCAATCTTAGTCATCGGTCAGAGCGTGGATAAGGCTGATCCTGCTCTACCACCGGACTGCTCCGTCATCCCTCGTTCATCCAGGCTTTAGCGTGCAAGCAGCATGAACCATCCCACTAGGTCCCTCCCAGGGTGGGCCTGCCTGGTCCTCTGCCACCAAAGAGAAGTGGGCAGATCACATGCCAGAGACCTGGGCTTGTTGCTCAGGAGGAAACATTTCAAAATGGGATTTGGAAGACCTTCCTCCAACCATGCCTTCATGAGTCTGTACAATCACCAACCAAAAAGTAAGAAATGCAAATTCTGAACAAATGATCTCAGGATGGGAGGGGTCTAGGTTTCCTAATTTAAGACACCTACGAAATGATCCCACAGGGCAATGAAATGGGCAACAGTCAGTAGTTAGTGTGTAGATACAGCAGACATGTTCACTGTGCAGGTTTTATATGCACAAATGCAGGGTCCAGAGGTGCTCTCGGACTCCTTGAGGTTTTCGGGCTGGAGATAAGGATGGCTGTCTGCACAGAAAGGCAGAGTGGAAGGGAAGTGAGTTAATGGTCTTCCAGCATTTTGGATATGCTCCTGTCTGGCTGGTGCATTAGCCAGGGCTGATTTCTTGTGTGAGAAACATGGGATTTCTCCGTCCAAACAAGGCTAGGTAACTCCAAAGTTTTGGGCAAACTGAGGCAGGCAGCAAACCTGCAGAGACTGCTAGCATGACCATGAACCTCTAAGGGTAGACATGGGGACCAGGAGCACTGTGGTCACTGGTCTTTCCCATTCACAGTGTCCATCAGGGAGGTCCTGACACAAGTCAGAGATCCTGCTCAGATGGTAGGCTGCCTTCCAAGACATGATGAACACACACAAACACACACACATACACACAGTCTGTGTGTCTGTCTATCTCTCTCTCTCCCTCTCAAGTAGAGCTTCAGGCAGCAAGAGAATCTGGGTTCCCAAGCAGGAGGGCAGTTTTTCAGCCCCCAGGAGGGATGGCAGGATGGTGAGGGGCTGTAGATAAGCTGGGGTCCTCTGGTCCACCCCCTCTGCATGCAGTGACATCACAAAATGCTACGACCAGGCAGCAATGGGCCCTGCTCACAGGATGGCCTGAAGCCTCATGTGGCCTCCCCAGGAAGAACAGAGGCCCCACAGCGCCTGCGTCTGTGGTTCTCACACAAGCCTCTCTCTCCACCCGTTCCAGCCCTAATGTTCCTTGACTGTGAATATAATTCATTTACTTCATACTCATTCACCAGGATCAAGGGTGATTTCGGACACTTCGACCTTTCCCTAAGGTTCCCAGCACTGCGGTCACTAGAGTCCCCCAGCTCTGGAAGGACCACCACTGCCCAGCCAGGAAAGAAGCCCCGACCCTCAGTGTGGGAGACCTGTTAGCAGATCAGAAAAGAGGTACCAGCAGGGCCTTCACTTGTCACCCTCCCCTCTGGCTCTTCATACCTTCTATGTTCTATGTAAAAACACATCCAGGGAGGTTGGACAGGATTATCTGAAGACCGTTTTAGGAGGACAGTCAACCTTACTCAACTCCCCTAATTTCTAAAGATTTGCCCTCATGCCTTTTACACTGCACACTATTATTTCCTGGAAGCTTAGCAACTCTTCTGCCTGATTTACAAAACCAAGAGAGACTGGCCACATCTTCATGGGCAGAGTCAACAAAGTACCATCTACTGTCTGATCCTCTGTAGTGTGAAGACCCATCAGTAATGTCTCCCATTTTAGAAATACATCAATGCTCCACTTAAGCAATTCTGTTTGAAGGCAGTTCCACAAAGCTACCAGTGCTGGGCTTAAAATTTCCATTCAGAGCGCACAGTTATTAGCCAAAGATCCAAAGATCGTGGTGGTCCACAGGAGAACAGTGGATGGATAGAGGCTTTAAAGCATCACCCCTCAGACGCTCTCCCCCAGACTGGCCTCGCTGTACTTAATGATAACATTAATTAAGGGACAAAATGAGTCCACATAACCACTGTCACTTACACGCTATCAAAAATGAACACAGGGCGCCTGGGTGGCTCAGTTGGTTAAGCGACTGCCTTCGGCTCAGGTCATGATCCTGGAGTCCCTGGATCGAGTCCCGCATCGGGC